GGTATAATATATATATAAACACAGAAATTCGTCGTTGAACAAAAAATCGGGTAGTGAAACGGTAGGCAGATTTTAGGAAAAAAATATTGGGTCATCGTATACAAACAGTGGACGGAGAATAATGGAGTCCATTGAATAGGATGAGGGCAAAATCGGCGCCTGTGGAAAACAATCCTCAAAGAAATTCTACATAAGATGATGAAAGGCTAGAAGCAGCACTAAGAAATGAGAGAAAACCAGCTCTCGAATGCTAAAAGAACTGAAAAGTAGAATGGCAACCATCTCACCACGAGTAGTAAAGAACAATGGCCTCGCGGAGTATAGAGCAAATACTAAAACAACTCCCTTCGTCGTTGTAGGCCATCGGCCTTAAATACCACAATAAAGAGAAGGCCGAAAGAAACAGACGTTGAGAACTACTGCACCATAGGCACCACCATCCACAATCCAAAGCACAAAGCAATCCGAATATCAATCGTCTACAAAGCTGCCACGGCCTGCCCAGCCCTGCTCTTGGCCAGATAAAAATTTGTTCTCAGTTTAAAGAAAAGAGTCTCTAACATCAAAAGGCTCGGCCGAAATAAACGCCAGCGTTCAGTGATGACCTACTGAACCCCTTGATTAGCGCTAACCAATTGAATGAGCTGCTGAATTCCGCGATCTGGCGGCCTCAATGCTTGACCAATAAAAAGACAGTCGGCGAAGATTCGCTAGAGAACAGACTGGGAACCTAGTGTTTCAGCAAGCGCTAAGTATTTGCAGGCGTGAGAAATCATTTCGTATTGAGGATGGTTCATACATGACAGTAAAACCAATTTATCCCCGTGATAGCCTAGTGGATAACGCATTTGTGTACTAATCTTCGAAAGATGTTGTAGTATAAGCTGAAGTCCAGACATAGACATACGTCGTTTCGCGTTGGGAGCCAGCCGTCTGATGGAGTGCTTAATGGCGGTGCCGGACGCAAAGCTCAAAACATAGAATAAAATCAATCTACTGATACACGTGCAGTCGAACTGGAGAATGGAATAGTAGCCATTTACTTGTTTGTTAGGGAACAGGCGCCGTTTAAAAAAGCGAGTTTTGAAGAAGGAGGGAAAAATGCCTGGCTTGGAATCTGTTTGTGGAAAGTATGCCGGTGTAAATAGAACTGGATTGTATGTGCGAGCCAATTTTCCTAAGACACTACGATGAAATGGGTTACAACAAAGATGAATCATAGGAAAGCGTAAATAGCAATGAATAAAATTGGTATGCCAGTGGTGGAATAAGTTTCCGCCTTATTCGTTTGTGATTATCCTAGGGCATTATTCTAGTACACTCACTTATCCATCTCATCATGAGGATGAACCAGTAATTTGTACCGTAGATTTTTTTGTCCTTCCGGAAAGCGTTTGAGATGTGCTGTTTTGCGAAGAAAAAATGTTTTATCCAGCAGATGCGAGCAGTATAACTAAAATTTTGCTTTATTACATGTAAACTTTTTTAACGTGTCTATTTAAATGTTAACAACTATGTATCTAAGTTTTAAAAAAGAACGCATTACGCAATTGCATTTACTATAGTGATTATCCAAATCCTCGTACAAATCCATAGATAATACATTTTATTGTCTCTAAAACAACACCCTCTGTCCTGTGAACGATACGGCGCTTTAAGATATTTCCGTTGGAACAAGCACACTGACGGCACAGGTTCATTTAGTATAGTCCGATATTGTTTATTTTCAAAGCAGTCTCTTACGCACATGTCTTTCGTACGACTCAGTCGCTATGGGATCCTCTGCTATATCATTACATAAAAGAATACTTTATGATAGCAACGCTATGAGTGATGGCATACTACTACGATGAAATCATTTCCTCGTTCCTACACTGTGACGCTTGACTTTAGCTCGTAACCCTACTACCAGTTGTGTGAGAGAAGTCTACGTCAAAGTAATTATGATACCGCCTCAGTAAGATTAAAGCAAAGCGGCAAACATCCGCCAGCTCCGACGACATCAGGCAACCGCTCTTGTGGTAGCGCAATGGGCGCGCCAACGCTAAACCTTGGGGGACCACAAACAGGATCACAGTGTTCGGGTACACAGGCCTGCGCCCCTTGCAAGTTACCCTTTTCCAGAGACATGCGGCTGACTACGGACTGTTGCGCCGTTTCCCGCTGCTACCTTTGCCGACAATCTCCCGAAACAACCCCCATTCGCTTCAGCTTGTACCGGGTATTTAGGTAAATGAACTTTAGTAGTGGCAGTTGCTCCCTTCTCATCGGAACCGGTTGGGTGGCTGGCCCTGCTACTTGGGTCGTTCGCTCGTAATGATGGTGGATTCATGAGGCGGTAAGGCTGAGCGCGGTTGCTCGTTCTAATGAATTTAGTAGTTATATTCGATAGTGCGTGGTGGCTTGGGCTGTGTAAGCAGTTCGCCAGGACCACGTAGGCCGCCTGGCAGGTTCTGAGCAAACTATGCGATATAGACAGCAGCGAAGCAGGCTGAGCCAGCACCCAGCGGCTATTGAACAGGGGGAGCATCGGATAGCTACCAACGTATTATATGGCACCTTGCACTTCGTGCTATGGCCCTGATTTCCTGCAGCTCAGCAGATATTCATTTAAAACTTCATTTCTTTATCTTTCACAACCGTATTTTGTACACAACACCAAACGCCGGACTAATGTTGTTGAGTCTAACGTGGCCACTGGTATTGCCAACACTATACCTCCGGGGGCGACCGATATCTTTGCGCGTCCATCTCATTGTCGATTGAGAACATAGAGCAGGCATCTGCTCCGACTTCGGCCCAAAGCAACGCTACAACGCAGGTCTGCACCGACATGTTCTTGCGAGTACAACGCTACCGCTTGTTCAGGACGAGAGCTGCTGGAGCGTTCTACTGTCCTAGAGCAACACCGAACAGGGATGGCCTTCAGAAAAATAGACTCTTGCTGCAGTATGTAAGAGAATTATGTAGAATGTGGCATCCTTAAAATAGTGTGTATGAACGATATTCGCGCTTTTTGATATGGTATCGTTCCGCTCGCATCGTTGGAGCCGCATCACAACATACTCCGTATCTGCATGTGAATTTACCGAACCAGACTACAGTAGCCGAGGGCGATACTTGGGGCTTTTGCGTTCGGCTTTCGAAGGCCTGAACAATAGCCTAATCGCTATTTGATTTAACAGCACTATAGGATTCGCTACTTTCGCTCTTTTTAAATAGGTAGCTAGATCGAGAATTAAGCAGAAGGCCACCGGGAAAGAGCTCGATCAAGAGCCCGGATGCTTTCTCTCCTTCCGCGTCTTACGCACTCCCTTTCTTCCCCCTTGGCTACGCACATAGGGGCTTACAGTTCATATTTCTCGTTGATGATGACTTGGGACAAGATTACTTGACCGCTTGCCGGTTCCCTATCCGACGACGGATGTTATTCGGCCGGGCGAGTGAGCAAAGGATTGATTTCAATGACCTTGTGCTGTACTATTCTGCTAGCCCTCGGGTTTCTTCCATTTCGGACTCTTCATACGGGTTACCTTGGAACGAACTAGCTAGCCAGAAGTAGCAGCAAGCTCGTTGATTTAGTCAACACTCTGCATTGGTGCAAAGAAAGCGAAGTGCCGCTCAACTGGAGAGTTCGTATGGTTTAAGGGTAAGTTTGGGCGAAGCTACCTTTAGAAGCGGCCAACAGCTCAGGGCAGTTCCTTTTGCGTGTAAGTGCGTCCCTACGCCCGAGTTCCCTCATTCGTCTTCATATCTGTTCTCAGAAAACCTCGAGGTCGTCTCGTTGGAGTTTTCGTAAAGTATCGGAGCGCCTTACGCCAGCCACTGTCAAAGCCGTCTATAGTGAACCAGCGCAGAGTAATATAAGCAATCGAACGCTTCTTTTGTTCGACCGTAACAGCATCAGTGGACATTGGGGCGATAGCCAGTTTGCGCCGTTTGTGAACTCATAGATGGGGACGCTTTAGAGGGTGAAAGGGAGGGCAGAAAGAAGTTAAGCACACAACGTGATAGTATATGTAGTCCTGCAGTTGCGGACTGAAATAATCGTTTCTGTCTTCCGGTAAAGTGTAGTCCGGTGAAAAGCAGACAGTTACATAATTTGCACACTACCACCCTTCCAAAGTTTCACTGTAAATTGTTACCAGCTCCTCCATAGATACTGGCCCCCAACTGAGCCAACTGAGCTCTATCGTCGTCGTTCGCGTCGGAGTTCAGGTTGCAAGCTTCTGCCACCAAAACAACAACAACAACGATATAGCTTCAACGAAGTCCGGTGGTCATATCCATGCAGGCGTGCGGGACTTGAAAACATATACGTGGCAGGTACGCTTCTTGAGCACAACGCGACTGGTGACGTTTTGGAACGAACAGAAGAAAAAATCGTGTAAAATTAAATGGTTACATCACAGTTAGGCGGCGCTGCTGCCCGATCTGTTGCGTTTAACCGAACACCTGACTGACGTTATTTAACAGAGTCTGACGTGACGATGCGTATAGTAGAAAACTGAGATCATTTCGTTTTGTCATCAATGGAAATGCTTGAAAATGTTTGCTGAACAGTAAAATCGCTAAGGACAAATTAAACAGAGGAAAAAGAAAAGACAAGTAGCGTCTGGAGCTTTCTGTTGGGTAGAAACTAACAAAAAGCGAAAGCTGCCTGTTTACTGGACATATGCAGCCGTAGTAACACACTTCTAACATAATATCCCTAACGACAATAGGCTTATTTTTGCAATACGACAGATGTCGGTTGAAACAAAAAGTAGGACTTAGAGCTCAATGAAACCTAAAGTGTTCTATCGTACAAAAATCTTGCACGTGTATACATTGTGCACATATGCATGGCTGACATATATGTATATATATGGGGCTAGTAGGACTTCATGTCAAGCGAAAGAAAATTAGCCCATGCCGGATCGTCAAGTAGTCGCGACAGATAACTATACTTATTTAGTCTAACGTCCTTTCTTTTATTACCTATGCACATTTGGTTATAGTGATAAAGCGGACATTTACGGCGAAGGTATTCGAACGAACGATAATCCGGGGTAATACAGGTGTCCTGCGATGTCATATCAGCGACGTAGACAGAGCGTACATTCAAGTCAAGACGTGGCTTGTTAACTCATTTCGATTAAACGCTGGTTCAATAGGAGGTAAGTGAAAAGTAAAGTACCTTTATTAAGCTATGTAGGCTTTATTCTAATAAGGACGTCTAGTAACATTCGAATAGCTCTCTGATAGGTAAGCACATCCTTTAAGTAAAACAAGTGTGATTTTCAACAATGCCGTCAGCTCATCAAAGGAAATGTTTTCTTTGGGCACTATTCATAGCCGAAGCCATATTTAAATAATCACCTATGACCGTTTGTATATTTACTACTTTAGGCAGGAACATGAGTTAAAAATGGGCCGAGAAACAATTTACGTATTACCAAAAATATTGACTAGCATTCAGCCCAGTTTTAGCCTGTGACGAATCTGGCAAGTAGCTTACACGGAAAGCATTGATTGTGATTGGCTGTTTACCAATACACTTTGCAGTGCGCGGAAAATATAGCGTATTGTCAAATGGAGGTGACCTCCATATACGGAATGTGGATTCAACGGATGCTGCAGCAACATATGAATGTATGGCACAGCATTTGCTCACACAGGAAACGGCCATTAGCATCGCTGGCAAGAAAATCATAGTTCGAGGTAAGTTTTACAGAAGGCGCTTTTGCTGACAGTACCCGTCCCCGAATGGGTACGGCGATAGCTGGACGAGGAACCTTTGCATAAACATTGTCTCCATTCAGGAATACTCAGTAATAAGCTCTACACAGGATACATCTAAAAGTCAATGAACAATATAATTATTTATTTATACGGACACCTATGTTTTCTAAGCTGTCTCAGCCAAATCTTGCGATTGAAAAGCAATATTGCTATTAACTACTAAATAAGTGTTTCAAAGTTCAATCTCTGGTTAAGTACTGCGCGAGACAGTTGGCGGGTTTTTTCAGCACAAGCGTGTATCTAAATTCCGTTAGTCACTGGCTTTTAGTTATGAAAGCTAGCAGATTTAAAGAATATCAATCATTCGTTATATATAACGGTTTTCTGTGCCGATAGTTTCTCGTACTGCGAAAAATAATGATTAGTATAGGACATAACACACTTTTTGGACACGTACCTGTTGTGCCGACTGGGCCGTTCAGGTCAGCGTTTAATGACTCTCCCTTTTAATCATCGGCGTTAAAATACTTTAAAGTCAATTACTTCAGTACCGCTGCTTGGCATGGATTCAAGGACTTGTTGGGCTAGCCCAATAGAACCAACTAAGAGAAGAGATTATAGTTATATTAAAAGGCTTTTTTTTTGTTCACATTCTCACTGTAACATCAAACTGTGCCTGCGTTCGAATTCGAACCTAAACGACTTTTCCGTCTAGCCACTGTGCTCTCACGGAGACTTTTCCGGGAACTTATTTTACACCATTCAATACTCTAGTGCATACACACATTTAGCGTGAAACGTTATCTTTCATTTCATTCGGTTTTCGTCTGCCCACTCCTTGCGGGGCAAGCAGAAGCCGTGTCAAAAGCCCCTCTCATCACGGATTCGCACCGTCACGTCCGGACAAAACGTGGCGCCACCGTAGAGCTGCCTTGCATTGCCCAGGCTGTTCCTCCTCCAAGCTACCAGTGGTTCCGCCGGCTCAAAAGGCAGAGCGTGCCGGTTCCCGTCGTGCCGAGTGGTCGCGTATCACAGTACGACGGCACTTTGTACATACACCAGGCGAGCACAAATGACGCCGGCACGTACCTATGCCAAACCAACAACTCGATGGGAATGGAAACCACTGAAACGGAGCTCATTGTGACGGGTTTGTATCTAAATTAGAAAATTATAGCAACGGCGCTAGTAACGCGCGTACGCGTGGTAAAACGTTGGCTGCCCCTCAGAACGATCATTGTACAGTTGCGCGATGTGTAATATAAACCATTGTCGTTGTTATTTTTTCACGTACTATACGTAGCATAACCAGAAATCGGTTTTGGTAGAAAAACTGGTGGCAATTAACATTTGGACTGCGTTTGGACAAAACAGAGAAATGAAGTCTGACTCTGCTTGCTACCGATAGTATGGCAGTTATTGCATAAACCGAATCAAAGGTTCATCACTTTAAAAGCTCATTCAAAATGTTAACTCACAATCAACAGATTACATCGTCTTACATGAATGTGTTTATATAATTTGGACCTTATTTTTTTCCAATTTCAATAATATGTAATAAATGTAATCGTTTAACCCTAAATTTCAGAAACAATAATATTACTAAGTTTTTTTTATCTGCATTAAAGGAATGCTAATGTTTTGTATTTTGCTCGAAGAAATCTATAAATATTCAGTCACATATTAACACCTCTATGCAGAGCAAACTTTTCCTGCACATATATTGTGTAATATTTTTGTATCTTTGGTGAGATAAGAAAAAGTTAATCCAAGATTCTATATATATATATATATGCGCTGAGTTTCCCTTTCTTCTCTATTTCTTTGTGCAGATGCATTACACGCAGTGATTACGCCACGAGTCTATCGAGCAGATTTGGGCGGTAACGTCTTACTGAACTGCACCGTTCGAGGAACCCCCGTGCATCGGGTCGAGTGGTTACACAACCAGCGTCCAGTGCATTCGCAATACGCTGGCAGCAGCTCGGGCACAACTGCGGGCATGGGGGCTGGAGGTTCTGGCCTCCACGACCCCAGCGGAGTTTCGTTCATCTACTCAATTTCGAATGCCCGTCAGGAACACAAAGGCGTTTACCAATGCTTTGCCTACAATGATGATGAAAGTACTCAGGCGTCCGCCATACTCGACATTACAGGTATGTTATATTATTACGTGTAGGGATCAGGTTGTTAAGGAAATACTTGTCGCTTCTATGTATCGTATCTTTCTTTAATTTTCTTTCTTATTCTGGCACTTTCCGCTACTAATTTTACGTAGAAAAGCCGTTTGAATTACCTATTTCTAGATATAGCACCAAAAATTTGCTCTCATTAGAAGTTTGACTGGGATGGGTATTGGTGGGCTCATTTGAGATTTCCGCAACAAATCAATGTACGGTATAGCAACTATACAAGAAGCTATTAATTATAAAAAAAAAATATTAGTTCGCTACTTTTTCCTGATTCCCTGCTTTTATGGATATTAATTTCTGGCAGTAATTTCTGCTGATGCTAAGATTTAAACTTGGTTGGCTGTAGACACGTAAATTCGTTTTTATTATGTCAACACATTCGAAGAAACCCACATTAGCTATCGCGACCACGTTGCCTAATCTTCGGTGCGTAACTGTTATGGACCATTATAAAACTATTTTGGTTCGACTATTACCATCAGTTTGCTTCGTTTACAAAATTTTACTCTGAGTTCAGGCTCTGGAGACAGATATATGAAAATGCACGAATCTAAGCGACATTAGCATAAGCTGTTCAATGTAGTAGTTGGTATCCTTCCTTTCGTTCTTCTTCGATAATTATGGTAAATCAGCACATATGATCCTTGCTATCATCATATCTTCTGTTTAATGGATCGATTGTTTTGACATAACAGTGTGAATCAGCATTGTAATTTGTTTGTATGCGCGACCGCAGACGAACCCCCCGTATTGATCGAGACCTTTGAAGAGATCACGACTAGTCCAGGCCCTTCGGTGTCGCTCAAATGCATAGCTTCTGGACGACCCCTGCCGCAGGTAAGTTTTTCTCTTACTAATACGCATCTTGTCTATCGATAGTGTTGATCTCTCTGTATTCATATAATAATAATATGAATGACTGTTACGTACCCCATACCTTGGGATACATATGAAATTGAAACTATAACAGACATGTTAGCTATACTGGTTTTATAGTAGGAATATGATTAAAAACTCCTTATTATAGGAATGTGTAGACTTATATTGTGTACTTAGGCGTATTTAAATGGTTAATCTCAAACCGAGACGTCGTTCTAGGGCAGATAATAGTCATGCTTTTCAAACTCCGCCGTTCTGTCATTTGATATAATTTTAATAAGTTACACAATTCATGCTTTTGTGTTATGCAGCAGTATATTTAGCTCCAATATCATAACATTGCTAGCGTCCATTTTTTTCACGCCATACAGGCCTATATGACGCTAAATACACGATTCCTTTAAACTAAATCTAAAATCTCTTATCTTGCTGACAGAATTCTCCGTTTTCCCAACGAAAGCCCCTCTCCTACAAGCTAGCGCCTCTGTTTTTTAACGCCGTCTCACTCATAAGTGGCAGTACGGGCGTCTAAAGTAACGGGAGTCTCGTTCGCTTTTTGGACTCCTGTCCTCTTATGAGAAAGTCAGGGGGGATAGCAGGGAGACGCAACGCTACGCTACACGCGTGCGTAACTTAATGACGTATTCGTCTTCGTTATCTCTAAGTGGGGTCTTTTGTCTGAGCCTCTAGGTTCACGTTGTGTCACCACTGGGATAACCCTCGTGCCCCAGTTTGCGGTATTCCTTCACAACGGCTGTACGCATCGAACGCTACTGCAAATATTCCTACCGCGTTGTTGCATGTGCGGGGTCCAAGCCTTGTCCACCGCTGGCCTGATGCCAGCCAAATCAGCTGAGCAGGAACCAATGGTGGATGGCGGTCTCATCGAAGCGAGTCACCTGACGTTGTCCCTGTGTCATCTTTGCTCTTTCTCTCGAAAGCCGAATACGCCCTGTTGGTTCATTTCTGTGGTGCACTTTCTTTTTGAAAATGATCGCGCCGCTTGCCGTCTTTAAGAGTTACACTGAATAAGGAAACAATGCACTAAGGTGTGCAGGGTTATAGCGCATCGGTCATTAACTGCTCGGGACACAGTAGCAAGAGATGCCTCGCATTGGGTTGTAAGTCGGGCGAATTTAATTTTTAGATAATGGTAGTCTGGCTTTGGCAATTAAACTTGGACGTATTGTGCGTTCGACCTCAAAAGCGTAAGTTATTTCATTCACTTTTGCCCATCTACTTGTGCAAGGACTGCCGATGAATTGGGGTATCGACAGAGTGTTTCATGATGGTGCCTGGACATTAGGTACTTTTTTGCGGGCACCTCATGTTACTCATTCATTCTGACTTAGCGTCAATCGGGCAGCCGGTTTTTTTTTTAAACTGGAACGATCCGACGCTTTTTGGGGTCCAAGCTTTTATCAGAAGTTCGCGTTATCTAACGAATTCGATCATTCGGTTAGAAAGTAATTCGGGAGTGACTGTTGCTAAAACGAAACACAACACGCTGACCATTTCCTCTCTAGTATTCAATGGAAATAGCGATTAATTGTGATTATAAATCAAGTGTTTGTTGGGCACGAAATATAAAGCATGTATAACTGAATAATTAACAGGGGCTCAAAACAGGAAAGGTTCTCCTATCAGATCTCCGAGTAAAATCGAAAAAATATGCATTTATGTAATCACTACAATTACACAGGGCTTTTTAATGCAATCTGGCGCTATTTATGCTATTATTCCAATGGATAACTTTGTGGGTCTTCGCTTAACTTAACAGTAAAAAAGCCTAGCCTCTCTCAGATGCCTAAATTGGATCGGACATCCAAAGTTTTCAAGTTGGACATCTCAAACCTTGCATTCACATGGCCCCAAATTATTTCGTTGCTATAGCGGGACTAAATGTGCGCACAACCGGATTCCCAATCCACCTTTCATCTTCCTCCGGGCAGCAGGTCGAATCCTTTCAAATATGACCTTTACGCTGATTGAAAGTAAACAACATACAATTACTGTAGCCAGTGCCGTATGAAAATAGCTTAAACCTAAAACACAATCAGCAATTCATTCGCTTTTACTTTCGATTCTCTCGGCTCCATACCCTTAGGTCACATGGACCCTGGATGGGGTCGCTGTTCCTGAAGATGCTCGCTACCGGATTGGCGATTACGTCACACGCGATTCGTACGTCGTGAGTTTCGTGAACATTTCTTCAGTACGGGCTCAGGACGGCGGGATGTATCAATGCACGGCTCGAAGTGACGCCGGCGAGGCGGAACACGGGCAGCGTCTTAACGTCCACGGGCCCCCGTTCGTACGTGAAATGAAAAATGTCTCGGTGTTAGCCGCGGAAACGATGACGCTCATCTGTCCTGCCGGAGGCTGGCCGATTGACTCGATCACCTGGGAAAAAGGTGAGCCTCAAAAAAATGAAGAGAGTGTACAACGTGGGATGATAATCACTGAACAATTCGAAAACAGGTTGCTTAATACTTGAATAGGCATAATTTTCATAGGTTAAAGTAGAAAAAAAAGTAAAATTAACTAAAAATTAAAATGAAAAAATAGCAAAGACTTTCAGCAAGCTGTCGGGTAACTTGTGCTCCACCCTGTACATTCGTAATAAGACCACATCGTGAATGCCTATGCGTTTTTTTGTTTGTGACACTTAACGACTTGTACATGCATTTGACGCTTGTTGATGAATGGTAAGCAAAAATTTTGATACAACCCAAAATAGTTTCTTGCAAATAATCCGCGATATGCAGCGGCTTTCAGCGATTCTTTCGCCATTATCGCGTAGTTCGTCGTGCAACCTGCAACATACAATATGGCAATAAAGGTCATACTCATTAATCCTACTAAACGTTTATTCTGCCTCGTTTCAACTCATTATATGTTTTGCAGCGGTCTCTTTATCTAGCGTGGTGCGCTGCACGTAAGTTCACAGTACAAAGAGTTATTTGCCATGGAATAAGGTTACTCCAGTTGTTTGTCCGAAACACATGAAAAACGAAGGAAGGGCAGCTCATAAAAGACGCAAACAAACGAACTTTTTATTTAGCGCAGTGCGAAACAAGCTGGGCCGTGTAGGATAGCTGGTGCCGAATAGGACCACACAGCTCCCATGGGAAACGTGCATTACGAAATGAGACTTCTTGTCCTAACTCCTCATGGCAGTTGTAAAGTCCCTCACCGTAGTATTCGTGCACTTCTTCACCCAATTTCTTCCATTCATTCGCCAAGCACTGAGGAAAAAATATGCGGAGAAACACGAGCCAGTCAGGGGCAGAACTATATACAGAAGCACGAGCAAGCTTATTTCAAGCACAAAATAACCAAATCCCGCTTTCCAAAGGGAACCCCATATACATCCCTCGCTGCACCACTTGCACGTATGTTTTCGAAAGATTTTCGTTTGAAAACGCGTCTAGTCATTTGACTGTTGTGCTTGGCTGGTCCACATAGCACAGACCCGATTATTTCTGTTCACCTTACATCTCTAATGTGGCCCACTACAAATTTATGCCCCTGACGGACCTGTATACGAGCACATCTACACACTTTTGGTCGCCCATTTGCCTCTAGTAGGGCAGACCCTCCCTAAAACATGCAGCAAGTGTAGGAACATATTTATCTACGAGGATCCTGCTACAAGAAAGAGTGTAACAGCCTTATGATGTTTGCAGTGCTTTCGTATGATCGCGGCCCGCATGCTCTCCTCTGTAGCCTGCAAGCTAGCTGGAGCAGAACGTCTTGCGGGGAATCCTTGGCAAAGCTCGCCGAAACAGAACGAAGATTTAGCGCGACCGCGAAAATTAGGTTTGTTTGGATAGGAGGATACGGTGCCTTGAGACAGTATTTCAGCGTTTGAGTCTCACTTAGTCCACGGAACAGACATACATGGAGGTAGGGCATGACAACAGCGGGAACTTCAGCTGCAAATGATCGTCGAAATAGCCCTCTTCGGACGTCCTCCTTCCGAATGAAACACGCATACTCCCATGAGAAACGGGATTATACAGGATGCATAGTAACATTAGGGCATTGTTCGAATGTATTCACCACTACAGAAGCGGCAGCAGCAACAGCAGCAGCAGAATACCCCGGTTTATTAATGGTAGTGCATACGCTTGCTGCTATGGTTACACAGATCCTTGCCAAAGAACACGAAGGATTAGTAGTACACGCCAAGCGAATGGAAGACGTCAAGCTTCAGGGCTTTTCGGGAGCAGTCCAACGATACTGATGACAATGCGAGAGAAAAGAATCGGGGAAATAAGGTGGGCGGGCGGTCGGGAGGGGGGGGGGTAAGGGGGAAGGACTATGAATGGATGCCACGGACACAGAAATGGTAGAAGGGTAACTGCGGAAGAGGTGAAGCTACGTTAGCATTCTCGGTTGGAGGCTAACGCAGCGTAAATCAACGAGGAATGAGCCTTCATCGTCATCAGGGATTGACAGGCGGACCAGCGCATCAGGGTAATAATAGAGTAATCCTATTTGCTATTGACACGAGATCTGAGCGATGCACCGACAAAATATCACCAGAGTGGAGAACGCTATGTCAGAACAACGGATCCCGGTTGAACCGGAGGTAGTGTTTATCGCCAAACTGATATCTTACTTTGCAAGGACGATTCTTATAGATAGCGCTACGTTTCAGACTTGTTTATGAGTTTAGTAAAGGCTGGCTGATACAATGCCTAGTTATATCGTACAATATCGCATGTATTCTGTCAACTTTATTGAATCTATTTCGCGCGTTCTCTCCCATGCAATCTAATGCATTGAGTTAGCTATCGGTATACGTACTGTTACAAGATAATTATATTATGAGTAGTATACCTTTACAATCGGAATCACACGGACAACCAAATGTTACTGATTTACAATCCATTGTTCATAGCCTAGGCAGATGCCACCATTGTATTGTATCGTATCTTTGCCGAACGGAGCATTGCCTCTCGACCACATTCCAATTAAGCGCATTACGCCCCTCAGAGTAAATATCTACACACACTTCAGCGTAGTTGGTTTTCAATCGCTCTTTGCTTCAATTCGTTTTTCAACGATAATAGCAGTAGACCGGTAGACTCTATGCGGTCACATAATGGCAGGGGTCGGTGCATTCTAAATCGATGCTTTTGTAGAACGCAACCTTTCGGGCATTAAGCTTACTGAATCCGGTGACTCACTGACTCCAACAACCAAATCTACCTGTCAATCTACCGAGCGAACGACCGATGGAATTGACTCGCTTGCCCGCTAGGCTTATAGCTAGCAAACCTTCCTCTGTTGGGAGACAGTCTATCGGGTCGAGATCCTATTAGTTGCAGATGTAAGCGTCGAGTGAAACTTAGAAGGGCGCTGAAGCCAGTTACAAAGCAGGTAGCTGACGGACGTGGACTGTATGCGTGCATATGAAGGTCAAGGGAATGGGTTGGGAGCAATAGCGGGTCGTCGTCGTCGTCGTTGCTAACAAGTGCTAGCTTCCAATCGCCGCTGTTTTACTCGCTTGCGATGTTTCAGAGAACATACGGCTTCCGTACAACCATCGGCAGAAGGTCTTCACTAATGGGACACTACTGGTGCATGACGTTGAGAGGGCGACAGATGAGGGTCGGTACACCTGCACAGCGAAGAACTCACAAGGGCAGTGGCAATCGAACGGCGTTTTTATTCGGGTCCTGGTCAAGCCGGTGCTAGTACCATTTAGCTTTCCCCAGAGCCTTCATCAAGGGCAGCGATTCAATGTGCTCTGTACCGTATCCAAAGGCGATTCACCCATTCACATTCGATGGTACAAGGACGAACAGCGGTGAGTGGTAGTGGCTTCCTGCGACGACAGCTTCATTGTACTACTGTGCCTTCATTCGATGGGCCTATTCTCCCATCAATTGGCTAATTCGATAAGAGTGAGAATAACAATTAATACCAATCGTACAGTACTATACAACATAGTTGCGTATTTAAATAGAACGGTTTTTGGGCAGATTTTAATAGTGCCATGTAACTAATTCGATCTTATAAACGGGATACCTAAACTAGTAGGTATTAATGACTTCAGTGACGAGCGACTTTGCTGCCTCTAATCGTGCATTGAATCAGAATTCTATGCATATTGCAGTATGAATGTTATCTGGTAATCAATTCAGTAACTAATTATCCACTTGTTTAATTATCTGCTGCAACAGATTGAGTGCAACGGAAGGTGTTTCAATTCTCAATGTCACCGAGTTCTCGTCAACGTTGATCTTCAACGAGCTCCAGCCTCATCATAAAGGCAATTACACTTGTGAGGCACGAAATGATGCCGGAGTCGTACGTTTCACTGAGCAGATGGTCATACACGTCCCTCCAAGCTGGCGGGTGGAACCCCACGATACTCCAGTGGTTAAAGGCACCACAGCTTTTCTCGATTGTCAGGCAGACGGGTTTCCTCAACCGAAGATTCGTTGGACGAGGGCACAAGGTATGTTACTACTGGAAACTATTGAGTACACTCGCTCATCGCAACACAATCGATTGGCATGCTTTAGAGCTAATAGTAGTAATCTGCACCGTTAACCAAATTCCGCTCTGTTTTTTCTCGAAGATAAAACTCACTTTCGCTCGATGAGTTATTGAACAGAACGTAAGATTCCTTTTGTCATCTAGTGATGTATATACCAAATAGAGTTAGATGCTAATATTTGTAACAGTCGCAGACGCTCTCGAAAGTACTATTAGCTTTATTACTACATGACTGCGTAACAATTATGTGACGTCCAGATGCAGTTTTAGGATTCCTTATCGAATTGTTAGGTTTTGGTAATGCCGCCCGATATTGACGGCTCCAAGCACCCTTAGGCTGAGCATCGTAGCATGAGTGTTATTGCCTCTGTTACTGTCGATGTTAGTGATACTGTTCTCGACCTCAGCGTCGCCGCATCGGAAGACGACGGAACGGCCATTTTACTAGCGTCGAGGTCGCTGTTTCGGTACCGTTTGACACTTACCATCGTTGTTGTTACACGGTCGAAGCTCTTTTGGGGCTTTGAGGGAGAAGGGGTACGACATGGCTGGTCCAATATAGGGGGCCTTTTATCGCCTCTGTGCAGCAAACGACAACCCTTGCAAAAGTCGCGGGATCGCAGCGGTACAACCACCGGCAGGAAGCTTCTCGCGATGTTTCTTTCTGCTGACTTCGAGTCGAGGACGTCAATAGCAACCTTTACTGATACCCCAATGAAACCCAGCTAGAGCCCAAATTCGCATTTGCTCCCACTCTCATCCTATACAGTATCGTACCCTCTTAACCAGCTTAAAGTCTATTGCTTTGTTACATCAGCGGGGCATTCCTTGTCATCAGCCCATTGGACATTTGCCATAGCGCAACGAGAAGTCAAAAGACATCCAGCCAATAGGTGGTAATCTCACCAGCCTGTGGAGTGCCACAGGCAATAGCATCCGCGTTTGGTCGGTGCACAGCATCGGTTCGTCTTCAAGAGCGAAGGCGGGAAGAGAGAATCGTTGACCAGAGGCCTGTGACTTACGTTTCGCTCCTTCTAGGGAGCTCGGGATAGTGCCGGTGCTGGCAACGGCCACTTATCGACTAGCAGTACACGCACCTCGTAGGAACTCATCTGGAAGGGGAACTATTTCCTATCGTCCCTTTGTGGCTCTCTTCGCTATTGGCTATCACAGGCGCTGTAGCCGTCGTAACTGTCTCTGTCGCTTTTGTTCTTAACGCCACCAGTTGCCCTCTATGACGTATCTTCTCGAGCCCTTCATGGGCCTGTTATGTTTGTTGTATGTATGCCAGGGAAGTTCAAACGTTTACCCCCATTTGTTCCATTCTCCGTTTCCTAGCAGTGGACTACTCGTTCTTCACGCAGCCCAACAAAAATCCGCCGACGCCTACTCCCTGCGAAATCACTTCGTATCCCCACAACCGTTACTCATTGGTCATCGTTACTTGCTGTTCGCTACTGCTACGTTCAATCTTCAGCGTTTGTCGCGTCATCTTCTTTTGTGACAACTCTCATTTCTATATCTTTGAAGATATAGACTCAGACAGACCGCACAAGAGTGGAGGGCAAACGCAGCAAACACCCTAAGCGTGCCAAGACTCATGAAGCCTTATTTTGCCCCTTGCTTTATGTTACCGCTCTGCCAGCAGGTCACCGCCTAGTCATTCCTCGGTACTGGAGTGTATCATATCTTATCTTTCTAGAGTCTGCCGGCTTCGCCATCGTTATGACAATGTTGAATTGAGCGAGATGTGCGTGGGATGGTCGCCAACGATGTGATTGCTACTTCAGCGCTGTCGAGTCGCGATGCGCTGCAACTTCACGAGGCAAATGGCTGATTGCCAGGAGCAGAATTACTGGTACCAGTGCGTACAACTGAGTGAGCAGAAATGTGTCACGTCAGTGGGCCCCACTGACAGGCAGGATAAAGGCCGAAAGCGTGTGTGTTTTGGCCGTAGGGAGAATGAAACGAAACGACAAAGACGAGCTAGCCAGCCCCTGCCACAAACTGAACGCCTCGCGACTATTCGACGTGATGAAGTACTTGTGCTTACAGTGAACGGGGTGTGTGCGGTTGAAAGCGAGGTTAGATTGTATGGGCCACATGATGATGGTCGTTTGTTAATCGCCAAAGAGGCCGGCGAACGAAAAAAAAATACTCAGAGCCAGCGATGTTAGAGGGCTTAAATTTAGTGGGCGCCGTACTATTGTTACTAAATACATATTAAGGATTAATAATAATAGTTATTATTATATTTTTGTTGAAGGAGAACTTTGCCATTGATGAAAAGAGGCTAGTTAGCATTAAGATGGGTCCAGAAATCAAAGCCGCCCAAAACTAATACACCTCTTTTATCGATTCAGGTAATGTTTCCACATATTTTGTGTTTATTGTCGTTTAAAAATAATTGGCCTAAGTACCAGCCATTGCGGCTGAGCTTTGTCGATCGAAAATTTTCATCGACATCAGGTACAATTGATGCCGCCTCGTACGAAGTTGGCTTGCTCTCTAACCTACTACGGATATCTACAAAAGCGTATTACCTGCAAGTAAAATAGTTTCGGGCTAATACTTTCAGTATGAAATGTAGAGTGATAAAGTAAATTATAGGTCTATGTAAATAAATCTCGCTTGCTCTTATTCGATTTGCTACCAAGCTAAAATATATCAGAGTGAAGCATCAAGGCCAGGTTGCCGATTACCTATATTAAAATTATAACTGAACTGTAATACACACTAATACTACACAATAATAATAAAGGCACATATATATTGACCCCTATCGCGATGACCCTTTTATCGGGCTTCCCGTTAGGATAACGAGCAATCAACGAATCCATGCTCCGCTGGACAATCCAACACTAACCCTAAACACGGCAGTCTGCCTGCACACCAAAGGCTCACCAACCGCTCCTATTTCACTCGTAACCAGAAACCGTGGCACCACACGGAACTACGGAAACTGTTCCCGCTTCGTCTAACAACTTGAACTGAAAAAACTTTGTTAGAGCAAGGAAAGATAAAGTTTAGCTTTGGCTAACTTCTGCCACAGAATCCGTTTGCACGCCTTGACGATGCTTTTATTAAGCTCTCAATTAATAAGAGGGAAAACCTCAGCTACAACTTAAAAGCCTATTACATATATACAAACCAATCGTATCACTTTATTAAATTGGGCTTTACTAAGCTGTGGCAGATTGCGCAATTTTGGACCCCCAAAAGTCCACTTCACGAACTTCATTTTGTCGCTCCGGCCTTACAAAAGTGCGTATAAGTTAACTAGGTTTGATACGAAACTACAACACCGAGGCGCCTAGAGAGAAGAGCAATAGTGGTAGTAAGTAAAAGGCCGCAGTCACGTTTACAGAACCTGCTACTTTCAGGCAGGCCCTAGCCCAGGATGGAATAGGCGCTAATCGGCTACGGATCAGAACATCGATTCCTGTGACAAACGTAGCAGATCAAAGCCTTTAGATTAAGGGTCAACAACTGAGGCATTGTGTTTCCCTAAGAGCGATGTTCGAAGACTTGCTATTGGTTTCTAGCGACTTTTTTGGTGGATTCGAATGCTACTTCAGAAGCGATAATTTTTCGTCATAATCACTGCGTCGAATCATCTGAAATGTACTGTGATTATTTTTAGGTTGCTGTTGTTACCGATCAGCTATAATCATACACAGCTTCCTTTCTTTTCTTAATGAAATATTTTATCCTTATACTGTTTGTATACCGTATCGTTGACTTTGGCTACACCATCAGCAGCCACTGTTACGGTTTCCGAAGCTTCTTGGCGAAGGCTTCCTACAACCACTCGAATTTCAGAATTTATATACTCAATTAATCCCGTCTTCAAATATCCTTTTTAAAGCCTTATATTTATAATAAATAATATATGTTAATGGAACACTTCGATATACACATCGTAGAAACATATGTATTATATATTTTTGGCTGTTATACAAGACAAATATATTTATACATTTAGACGTATTGGTCAGCAAATTCCTACACGACATTAAACGTCGCAGAAATATTATCTAGCATTATTCGGTCATCCGTCGTTGTCGCCACTCGCGCATATACAGTTCCTGTATAGTAAGTACATGCGTCCTTGACAAATTACGTCATCAGTGGGTGGCTGTCTGCCGGCGAGTCTTCCTACATTTGCCCCCTAATCCTGCGTTGCTTTGGCTCGGCAGAAGAGAATTCTACCTCTCTTTAGCCTTAGAACAACACAATGTTGTAGTATGTTATTATATATCGATAAGACTAGCTTGAATCTTGTATATCCCGTGTTCTATGAGGCGTTACCGCATCCTATGTACTCTATGCATCAGAGACGGCGCCCAGCCTTTCCTTCTAAGGCAAATGGCACTAAGGCTCGCTTAGGCCTGAATCAGGCCCGGTACAGCCTGTCTTGACTCCTCTGCACTACCCAGGGTGACCACCTATTTCCTCTTCTGAGTGTAACAGCGTTGCTTGCTCTCTCCTACATCGCTAGGTTGTGTGATGTTCTGCGCGAACTTCGTTGCCGTCAGTTCCTTTAGTTCGTTCTTTCAGCTCCTGGACGGACCCGAGGATTTTTGCCGCTGAACCGAGAGTTTTGTAGTAGCGGTAGTAGTACTGAGCAAAATTATATGCTTACCTACACTCAGGCGATATCAGACTTTAGCCATCGGGGGCAAAATGGAATGAGCTACAGGGGTTCTACATCAGCCGGCAACGTGGGAGAAGCAAAGGGAGAACTAAGTATCCTTTACTGTTCTGAGCTCTTCGCTCGAAGCAGCGATGTAAAGCCATGCGTTTCGCCGGCGCTCCAGCGCTGCTGGCCAATGGTGTGCTGGTTGAGAGAGCCAGCAGGCGGAGGTTTGCCGGGTAAGGTCTGAAAAACGGGAAGCGTTTCCACCCGCGACCAGCCGCGCGTGAAATGGCAAAATATCTTCATATAAATATCTGAGACGCCAACGACGCCAGCCGCTGTCGGTATAACATAAAGTGAACAACCACTGCCACTAGTGGCTCCAGTCAGCAGTTTGGTCCCTTCTGACCCATTGAGATTGTTGCTCCGAGACGAAGAGTGGGCGCAGACGACCTAAAGCAAACAACACGACTGCCTCTTCAAACCTTGGCCAGTGCGGTAATTTTGATCTGCCGGGCGGCTGGATGATTGTGCTGCTTGAGCCGAAAAGGATCTGCTGTGAAAGAAATCCAAAGGGACAAGGCAATAGTCGTTCAAACCACGATTCCACTAATGTACCTTAACTATCAAGTACCCAATGTACAAACAATAGAGTTTTGATTTATTTATTTATAGTTGTGATATATTGAAGGCTGTTCTGCAAGCTCGTGGCATTATGGTGGTTATTGCTATTACCAAATGTGCTAGAGACGTCAGTTAAATCGATTTCGATTGAAGCAAATCAAAATGTCTATGAGCGTAAAATTGTGGAAAAAATTAGATGAACATTTAATCATTTTTTCGGCTAGAAGTAAATGCAGTAGCATATATAATATGTTACATATATTTTTTTTAAACTATGTATTAGTAACGTGTTTGTTTCAGGTACGGTTTATCGCAAACAACTTCAAAGAGTCTCTTCTTTATAGGTGTGACAAGCATATTAATGCCCTTTATGGGAACGGCGTAGGCGCGGCTAAAATTTGAAGTCAAAGGATTTCTGGTCCTAATCTCACAGGGCGCAAGGGAACCAATACTTATCTCGAATGAGAAAATTCTTTAATTAAGTTTATTATTATTATTATTACTATTCTTTCACAAGACCCACGATTAATGGGTTTTTATCGAAAAATACGTAAAGCTCGAAACGTGTTCTAACGCTAATAGCGATGAAAAACTTAGAAAATCACTTCGAGTTGTCTCATACAGTAATTAACCGTCAATGATCATCTTTGTTGCCAATGCAAATATAAGCTGACCAAGTTTAAATAATTATTAATATGCTAAGAATCAATATATTAGAGATAGATCCGTAGAGTAACATTGTTTTTTGGTAACTTTTCAGGAGACGATCCGGCCGGGGACTACAAGGCTATACAAAGTTCTTCACATTCGCACGTATATGAAAACGGAACACTAATTATTCAGGGGGCAAAATCAAGCGATGCGGGCTCTTACCTCTGCCAGGCAGCTAACGGAGTTAGTCCGGTGCTCAGCAAGGTCGTGCGTCTGTCGGTGCACAGTACGTATTTTTCAGTTCAACTTGAATCATGCGCAACTTTATTTGTTGTAAAACAGATAAATGCACTAAGGGTCTTGCCTAGGCATCTTTTCTAACCTTTCGTAACTCTTCCGTAGCCAGTCTGACAAGCATATAGTAAGTCTACATCTAATAAACTTTTAAGGCAAGGCTAGTGGCTGCCCCTGTAGGTAGGTAGGTGGGTTAGCGCGCTAAATTCACTGAAACAAGTGTAAGATTTTGGATTCTATCCTCAACTGTGACTTAGTGAGTTTTTCAAGTAAGCGAAGTCATAATTAACAAGAGCTTACCGAGTCGTTACTTTGCCAACATAATTACCATTACACTTTCCATTAGTAATACATTCGAAGATGTCGTGACTATAATTTCCATGGAAAGTTAGTCTCTTGCGGCGGTGTTGGTGCTGAGAGATTTTCAAAAAAATATTTTCGGTTATCGCCGTATCAACCTTTCTAATCATTGCTGGCTGATCATTAAAAAAATCCCAAGTGAACAACGACATTTTGAAAAGTCGTAAGTTTTTCTTAGTACTACATCTCTTTCTATGTAGCTCCTATAAGCATCTTTGTAAGTGCATATGAATACGCCTGCAATGCGCGGGTCGATAAACGCAATAGCAATATTCCAGGGTCTCTTAGTTCAAAAGGCACTGGATCCCGTCTTTGCGTACCTTGTGCTTTGGACACCTATTTCAAAAAACCCATGTGTTCTATTCTTTTCAACTATATAACCCCTTATTTCTGCTTATCCTCCTTTGAGAACAGTTGGAACCATCTCCATCAAGACTTAAGAACGTTGCTGACTGAAAGTAACCTTCTACCCCCCCCCCCCTCTCTGCTTCCCACCCCACCCCTTTACCTCCATGCATTCGGCGACCTCTGCCGAGAAGCATTACCTTTGCTTTTCCTTCCTTAGCCTCGCCAATCTCCATTAGTTCTCTATTAGTCAACGACGCTCTATGCAAAGGCACTTGCATCATACTGGCTTTACAACGATTCCCAGTTAACTTAGTAACGCAAATCCTTACCAGGAAACCCAAATTGGCGTCACGAGCAATGCTACTCCATACGAACTCCTGACCTATTACATTCCTTTTTTTTGGTGAATATATCTATACCCATTTTCCTGCGTCTACCACAAAACAAGATAGAGCCACTGACCTGCAAGCGGCTTGCGTATACCAGCCTCGACCATAAACGTATGCGTTGTTCTTTTCTTTTGCCATGTATCGAATACTGAACGGTTGCTCAGAGGTAGTTAGGCGAACGGACGAAGGGGGCAGATGGTGGGAGGTGGGACTGCTCTTGGCAATTGGGGAATTTGGGGGCGTTCTATCGAGTAGATCCAAGGACTCTTTGTGGTAACGTAGTGGTGACGACGCTATTTCGCCAGCATCGATTCGCCTTTCTTACTGATGCTGTGTGCGTTTTGTCTTCGTCGACTTCTTTGGGTATGGCGTCGTATCTTCGCCTATGTATATGGCTTTATCCTTTTGTTCGAAGCTCGTTCGATTCCCTTTGCGTCGTTGAGAGTTACGGCACAGGGACGGCCGCACGCTTTCAGGGAAATCCGAATGCAGAAAGTGCTTTTCTTGCTTGTCTACGTTTGTGTTTCAGGCACGACTCGTAGTGGCATACTACGGCGATCGTACGCAACACTTTTCCTCCAACCTTTGTCTGCTTGAGCATCCGTAGCTGTCGGCGACGGTCGCAGCGGAATGCAACCGTTTGAGGCCGCACCTCCGGAGTACTCCGTTACCTTTCTGCTTGTTTTCCATGAAAGAAAGGTTTGTCGTATCGTTGAAGTTCGCTGGAGAATCGTTTCTCTTACCCGTAACTGCGGACGCATATCTTAGTTGAACTCGATCGTCCGACAGAGCTTTTCCATCGTACAGAGGCGCCTTTGTCTTCCACGCTGACTCGGTTGGGCCGGTTGCATCTATCTGCATCTGGTACAGTTTAGCTATCTCTCCTTCCGAAGTCAACGCTGGTATTGCGTACCCTGGCACCTTGGTCTGCTACGCATAAAGAGTACTAAAGGTGGGCAACCTGCCTACGCTTGTCTCTGAGTAACCGGGTGCTCGCTGCACGTATGCTTCGACTGCTAAGCATTCGTCTTCACGTTCCACTAGGCCTTATCCGAATTCAAATTAGCCTCTGAGGACCGGTTGGGCGGCGGCGTTATGGCTCGTCTCTCAGTCAACCTACTTGGAGCCCGGCTGGTGGTAAAGATCGGCAAAGGTTTCCCACTCAAAGTTCCTCCTTCTGAGCGTCGCGTTCTTAGCGTTGCTAATCTAATCGAACTACTCTCTCGACAAATACACAGATTAGATGTTAGGCTTGTGCTGTCTTTGTGGGCTTTCAAAAAACGCCATAAACTGCGTCTCTGTCGATTGATGGTGAACATCATTGCGCCGTGTCGTCTCTAAATCCCATTCAAGATCAATAAATCGCAACCTACGCAAAAGACAAAAGCGAGGCAAATGCCACCGCTAAAAACCTGGGCTGGTTTGATAGACCGTGCCGATTTCCGAATCAGAAAGGTTTCACAGGGAACAATAATACGTATACCTGGGTTAGCTAATACCTATTTGGTATAAAGAAATGTTCCTAAATCACTTACACGATCAACTACGGCCCTGCTCACTGGAAGGGCTTTTTGAACTCCTCGAGACAAAAAAAAAGACGCATGCGGCCCCTTGCTAGTCAAATTGCTGTTCACGCAACTAAACACTATTACTCAAATGACAACAGGCGATTTCGAAAGCCATTAATTTGTTCTGTGTTCTAGAACAGTATAATTGCCGTTTCGAGTTTAGGTCTGCCCTTCGTCCCTCTACTTTTGCCGGCGCCAATGTATCCATTGTCTAACTCTCGTAGGTGTATGCAGACGGGCTGCTGCGTGTCTCGCCTGGGTCTCCGTTGACGGCCTCTGTTCTTTAAGTCATTGCAGTGGCTTAAAGTCAGTCCGAAATCTGCTTGATAGGGTGCGTTGTACCGTATACCTTGTATGAAGCAGTCACAGACACCAGCTTTACGAAGGTCGGCAATGTCCTGCAATATTCATTCTCCAGTAGTAAACGGCTTTTGTCGGCATAACTCTATTTGAAAACATCAAAATTTCACTCTGAGAGAGTCTTAAACGGAGTCAGTACGCCGCTGTTTGAGTTATATTACATCTAGCTTAAATTGCATTTATACACAGGCATTTTATAAAGATTCCACCATCCATATACCTCATATGGAGTCACAAAAAAACGTTTTATTTTAAACTAGTGCTATTAAACGCTTGCGCAAAAATGTCTACCTAAAAAATTCTGTCAGTAGTGACATGAGCCAACTGTAAGTTACAGAATTTTTTCGGTTTGAAAAGGTCCACTCTAACTAACCGACGCTTCACACTGGTACTGAACTGAAAAAATAGCATTCGCTTGGATATGATCAAAAAGTAATAACGGAGGGATCAAGGCGAAGCGAATGTCTTGGAAACGTTCTGCCTTTAAAAGATTTACGCATTGTACAATAGTGAGGAATTTTTAGATACGATATTCAAACATTTGCATACAGACCTATAGCCAACCTATGTCACTGTAGTGATTGGGTTGCACAGCATATAGGAGCTCCAGGCTCGGATGAATACTTCAGACCCTTTACGCTCGAAAGGTCATCACAAGGGAACCGGCGACGTTGGGCCTACTCTTTCCTGCTGTACAACGCGTTGCGTTGACGGTGTTCAGAACGATACGGGCTTGAATGAATCCACAGGAATAATCCTTAGACATCCTTGTTCTGGGGTTGTTTGTAGGTAAGCCAGTGTTTGTAGTAACGGCGCCTGTGACCTGCCTGACTCAAATAGCAGTGATCTTTTACGCTTAATCTTGTGTTAAGCAAATGGTGAATAAAGAGGGCGAAATGGGCAAACGATTACTAAGCACTGTTTAGTTATCGTTTTTAGTTAGAAGGGTAGTTTCTCACTGTAAGCAGGGAAACGAGCGTCTGATCCGTTTCATTTGATCCTTACACGTCTGAACATAAACTTCTTTTTTTTTTCTTTTAGAAAAAAGCACCACATGCTAACGCTGTAAATCGTTTTCAGAATTTTGTACAAGAAAATTTATATATACTGTATATAGGTAGAATACGTACATATATGTATATATATAAGGTGAACCATTTTTTATTGACTTCTGAGTTTATAATTTTTTTTATTTATCTATATAAGCATTTTAATGCTGTTCTGTTGAATTTAAACAGCTCGTCGTTGAAAGTGATTCAAACAAAACCTGATACCAACTACTTATGTATGCAATGCTTCGAGTATAATCGTGTGACTCGGAAAAGCTATTTGCTTGAGAAGAAAAGTTAGGTAAAGGAAACTCATTATAACGTTACCGTTTTCGTTGCTTTTCTTCTCCCTAATTATATTCTGTTCTAGTTATCCTCTACACAGACTCAGTTCGTGATGGACGCCAAGTGAATACAAATATAGACTTTGCATTCAAAAACAGTAAAAAGACACATTGCTATGAAATGCTAGCAATTATCGCTTTAAATATCAGTGCAGACTCACAGGGCATCGGCAGTTTGTTTTAATATTAGTTGTAGAACTTGATTTGTATGAACAGCCATTCAGGCTATAACATTCGCCATTTGTTGTGGCTACAGCCAACGGTAGCCAGTTTTCGTATAGATTTTCGTTTATTCCATTACACCGCCCATAGCCCTATGCACCGCTAACTGGGTAACTTTTCCCTTTCGATATCCTTCGGTTTGTCTTTTTCTGTTTTGCTTTTTCCGTCTGTTCTCCTGCACTTCGTCTGCTTTACCACCACTATTCAACAACTTGTTCTTGCACCACGTAACATCTTCATCTCGACAACGTTCTAACATCGTTCGACCCGACTACTTGGCTGGGATCGTCGTTGTTGTGGCGGTACCTGGGTCCATGATTGTGACCCGTTGTCTCTTTAGCTGCTGCTCATTTCCGGTGGAAGTTCCGTGGGGAGACCGCCCAGAAGGGCCAGCCAGTTCGGCTAAAGTGCGAAGCGTTCGGGGATGCTCCACTCGTCGTTACCTGGACCAAGGACAAGCAACCGTTTGATCCGCGCAACAATCCTAGGTAATGTGGGGCAAAAAAACCTAACTCATACTATATAGTGGATGACTAAATCGACAGTAAAAACAAACCGAATGGGTGTGAGGGGTTTGTAATAATCCAGCTCGTAATGCATTTGGTTTACGTTTGTTATATCGTATATCCTGGCTCTTCTCATCTGAAGACGGCGAAACTGAGTAGCTTTAGTAACAGAGGCGTAGGCCGGGTTCAACGCTATGCTTACAACAGAAATGCAGTTGCGTTAAGGAAAGGCTTGTGATGACTGAGCAAATTAAGTCTATGCAATAACCTCTAACAAATAAAAATATTATACACTAGCACGTTGGCTAATACTGACGAAGTATTTTAACAACGCGTAACAGTCACAAATCTAGACAAAGGGTAACAGTAGTTTGGGAGAGGCGGCTGATAATGAGTCTTCAGTAATCAGCTTTTCGGAATATTTATTCAGAATTTTATTACCACCATCATCGACGTCTTTTGAGGTTTCTGATAGTTTTTCGTTTCTAAATAATAAAAATGATTACAGATGCACTGCAAATGAGACTCATGCCGAGCATAGCGTCGTCTCCGAGATTATCATCACAGACACGGATCGTCGGGACTCTGCTCTGTTTTCATGCATTGCCCGCAACGCGTACGGATCTGATGATACAAATATCCAACTCATTCTACAAGGCATGTATATACGAAGCTTGATTCGGAACGCAGTCTCTGTCCGCTATTCGTGTCATTGACGTTCCTCAATCAGGCCATTTGATAGACATCTTTTCTCATTGGCTGACCATTGAAGAATAAAGGCGACATCTTTGTGCGTATTCGATAGACGTCACCTACTTACTCTCGACAATATGCACATGCGCACACACAGTTGTAGCAAAAAAAAGGAGTTTCCATTAGCATTGTTATTGTGGACAAAACAGGCAAGTTTGCATTCGCAAAACCGTTGGCACATAATGCTTGTCTGATCTTCTTTCCTAATTATTATCCTACAAGAATGTCTCCTGTGGCCAATTTTCCCGATATATAAATGTAGCATCCGAAGTTGTCAGGCCTCTGACCAGTGCTGACAAACGCCTGCTGTTTAAATACCCGGAAATTCTCTCCTGAATTGCTTTTGTAAGGAAAAGTGTTCCAAGTGGATATACGGAGTATCAGAAAAGATGCCAGTGAAACTGTAAAGTAAGCTGTGTAAATATGTTACGAAAAATGATTTAAGATGTAAATTATATTAAAAAGTTGTGACTGTTTTATTTGATACGGCATTGCTTCAGCTGCAGAGCTCGTTGGCGCTTTCCTTCGTCGCTCATTTCAATGTGCCGTAACAAATAAACCACAGCTTTGTATTAAGCCAACATTGTAAGTAGAGAAGTGGTAATCCAACAGGACGTCAGTTCATCTAAGTTCATAGTAAATTCGATCTTGACATTTTACGGGATGTTTCCGGATTGTTACGGGATAGAGCCCCCGGATCCACCTCAGGATGTTAAGGCACTGGACATCAAAGAACGGAAGATTCGAATTAGCTGGATGGCTCCCTATAGTGGGAACAGTCCCATTGTCAAGTATATTGTGCAGTACCGTAACCACGAAGGTGAGAAACACTTATTGCTGGTAACATATAGATGCTATGACGTTGTAGCGCTGGCTCGTACAGAATTCTGCCAATTCCTCGATGTAAATTTATTTGAGTTAAATAATAGTCAGAGTATTTACATGGCGTAATTAATTTGTGAGTTAGTAATTTTTTTTCGACGATAGAAACATTCCTGGGGGCAAAAGGTAGAAATGCCTTAAGACTAGAGTATTAAGCAGGAAATAATTAGTTTACCAGTTTACTAGTAAACCAGAGCAGAATTCTTTCGGTTTGAATGAAGACGTTCGGGATGCAGGTCAGACCGGTCTCTCCAAGGCCACTAATCGTTTGCCTTTTACCGTCATATTACCCTGCTATTGCAGAGAATTGGCACTCGCGCAAAAATAAGAACGTCTCCGTATCGGGTTCAGATACTGAGGCCGAGTTGGTTTCTCTGTTGCCTGCTACCATGTATGTAGTTCGCGTTTTAGCCATAAACCAGATTGGCTCAAGCGAGCCTGGCAGTGACACCCACATCAAAACTCATAACGAAGGTAAGGATCGTATGTTGGCGCATCAGTTTCAGATCGAACCCATTTGTTGAATACTTAGCCCAATTTCGACAATATTAAGATAAGTGTACCGGCTAAAAAATAACTATTCAACTAAAACGTTATCGATTGTTAATCGAGTAGAACCTGTATACTCTGCTCATTGAAGTGTTTATGCAACCTAGTTTATGTGTTTAGTGCGAGTAGGGCCCACGTAAAATTTCTATGGATAACGATATCAATATGCGATTATGAGGGCAAAAATAGACTGATTCTGTGTTTAATAGACAGTCAAGAATCATACTTGTGAATTATATGACAGGAAAGAAGATTCAATGATTAGATACATCGATGCGTTACAATAAAATTGTTTTTTTTTTTTTTATTATAATTATTACAGTTTATGATAACATTTATAGCTTTGTCGCATTAAACCGCATTTTCAGCGCCAGAGGGGCCACCGCTGAACGTCCGATTAGAACCCGTTGGTCCGCACTCTGTTCGAGTTTCATGGAAGGTGAGCTGACTCCTATGCTATGTCGTATCTTTTAGGAATTATACTAAGTAAGAGGTCAGGCTAGCAGATTGAAAGCAAGGGTTATAGCGATATTATGGCCTTTTTTATAACAATAATATTGTTAGGTTTAATCTTCAAATATCTTAATAAGATCCCAAAATCTAAAGACTTTCAGGTATAATTTTCATTTCAGGTATAACTTTCAGGTATAACCTAACCTAATTATGTTACAATACTACTATTCATTTAAACGAAATAAGTTTAAGAAAAACTTGAATTAGCTGCACCTACCTCTGGAAACTGTACTAGCCATAAAACAGAATACTTTCTTATTGAAAACGTGAACTTTTCTATCACTATGGGTTTTTAGTAAGCATATTGGTTTTTGGCTATTAAACTACGTATATGTGATGCTAGCAACAAAGTATCATAATTCAGAAATTGGCTGAACGCGCGCACCTCATCGCTTATGTAGTTATTCTGGCCTAGACAGAGCTGGAAATCGCAAGGATTCCAGGGAGGCGAAAGTCGAACTAGAAGAAGTAATGTACATAGTACTGACCTTTCTACTTATAATCCCTTTAGCCACCTCGCAAAGAGCTTCAACACGGGGACTTGCGAGGGTACTACGTTGGCTTTAAAACTCGCAACTCATTTGAAGAATTCGCTTATCAAACAGTCGAGTTGAAAGATGATCAAGAAAACGAATTGAGCCTAAGCGGAATCGAGGAGGCTGAGGGAGGCTCTGATATCGGGATCTACTTTGTTAACGGACTACGGCGGAACACTGAATACACAATAGTAGTTCAAGCGTTTAACGACAAAGGTTCAGGGCCCGCTTCGCCAGAGATGCACGTCCGAACCCTCGAGCATGGTAAGTCCTAGCGATATACTTGATTAACAAAATAACAATAGCGTCTAACGTTGGCTACATTGCTCATGGATATGCTGTACGCGCATTAGTCTAACGTAGTCCTACCCATTCTACTTGCGTTATTTCTATTCGATAGAAATGAAGCTAGAAAATTGTGCCGTATTCAACAGTCTACGTTTCCGTTAAGCGTCGTTGAAATAGTTTAGTGATTCATACAGTTCCAATAAACTTTCGGTCCTCCTGCGACACAAACACTGCCGACGGATGCGGAAAAGAAATATTTGCTAGTATATTTCCCATATATTTACCGTACTAATATTTCGTTGGCTTGGCCAAGAAATGGATCTTTTACCCTATTCGATCGAGCTTAGCTTTATTGCGTTTCGATTCAGAGAGTTTAAGATTAGACCAGGGTTTAGTCCGTGGCTCCCTTCCAATCAAGTCCGGCTAACCCTATTCCCACAGCACAAAGCCCCTGCCGTTGCCTTTGCCACTTGCTCCGCCACACAAGCCAAACGGGGTTGATATTAGTTGAAAGTAATTCGGTTTTGCTAGCCTGTAGGTTAGCTTTTCGAAAAACTAGCCGACTGAACAACTTGCTTCTCCCATTGGGGGGGGGGGGGGGGGGGGGGGAAGAATTGGAAAGGCAAGAAAGAGAGACGGAGGCCGATTTTGGTTCATTTTGAACTGCGGGGACTCCGATGAAAATACTGGAAGAGGCAAAAACGTGAACGGGAAGCGCTTCTAGTGCTGCTGAGCGCGAACATTTCTGGAATATACGATGGGGAAAAGGCTTCGAAGAAGCGAGCAACTCTCGACACTGCGGATTTTTTTGGAAAAAGTAGGTCTTTTAATTTTTTTGCTGGAGAAGTAGCTGATATCAGATTAGGGGTAGAAAAAGAGACACTTGAAGACGTGGTCTCGAAAGAGGGCTTGTGGCGTTTCCATCGAAACAAAGAAGAAGTTATTTTTGTATTATTCTGCACTTTGAATTAGGCATTACAGAATTAACACTAACGTTCCGATGAGTCAGTTACCGTTGTTGGACTCTCTAATATACGTTGCAGATGTTCCGGAATCGCCAGATTTCAGTGTTAAGGCCACAACTAAGGGAAGCCTTACATTATCGTGGCCACCTGTCCCCCAAAGTACGAATTTTGGTAAGTGGAATAGATGCTCAGCGGAGCCTTAAAACAAGCATCCTGTAGTGGAATTTTTTTTAACATGGACCGACAAATAGATGGATTAAATCGTTAGTTGTACTGAAAATGCTAACAGTGAATTTTGGCGCTTACAGGTTATATTGTCTATTATCGGAAGCAAAAATCTGGCGAATGGCAGAAATCGCTGGTTCCGAAGAACGCTCTAAGTCACACGATTACCGGACTTGATTGCGGTCAAAAGTATTTTCTCTACATGAGGGCCGAGAACTCACCAGTCCGCGGCGAACCAAAGAATCTTGTATCAACATCAACCAGCGGAGTCGGTACGTTGATGGGAAAGACGTAAATAAGAACTAGCCACAATTGCTGCTATAAATACCATACATTTATCTATTTTTAATATTTAAGTGGCTCGAAATTGCTACGATAGCGATATGACGGCTGTAGTACTTTATCCTAACCTCATACTTACACCATTTGATCGAGCTGCTCACAAACAGAGGGTTCTTATTACGAAATGTTCAACAATATTGGTCAGCATGACGAAATATTAGGGTACAGTTTGCTAAATAAGTTAAATACTATGGCAATGATGGCATAACCAAACAATAATTTCTATCAGGAACAAAAAAAAAAAAGTTAAAGTTGTGAGTAACCGTAAAAACAACACCCTGCCATGACATGGACAAACTTAGCAACATATTTACTCAACAAAATTATGAAATTCATCTCAATAGGTCTATAATGTTTATATGCGGCTGCTCCAGCCCGTTATGCTTCTTCTTTTTTTCGTTCATTACAAACCCTTAAACGAATTAACGACATCAATAGCCAGGTTAGCATCGACACTATTTTCGAACTATACGAATGATTCCTTTATCGGTGCTCGTTCGTAGAAGCCATCCACCTTTGTCACCTTTGCACAGCGACAGCGCGACCAACGTAAGCGCAGTGAATACGAAGTTCTTCCACGTCCTGCATTACGGACCGTCATCGTTTCTTCGTTAAACTTGATGTTAAAAGCCTCCTCACCAGAAGATGCCTTCCCGTCCACTTGCTGCACTAGATATAGATGGCTACCGTCATCGAGAAGAAGCAAGAAGCGCAAATTCTCGACTTTCACTAGACCACCGCTGCCAAGAATGAAGGTGCCGGCGTAGCTGCAAGTTTTAAGAAAACTGGAACTGTTGCGGGCCGTCGGAACAATCTTAGCAGCAGACCAACGGAAATGAATTGTCACTTCCATAAATCTCAATTGGGGTAGGGGTAGCGGTAATAGCGCTACTAAGAGAAAAGGTACGAACGTCAGTCCATGCTAGCAATTTCCTGTACTACGGCAACGCCTGTTGCTGGATGTCGGTTAAGGTCGGTCTTTTCTAGCTCGACTAGAAAGCAGGCGATCCTGGCACTTAAGTTGCAACCCCTCTCATGTATGCAATAAGTGCAATACAAGTATTCAGATAAACAAACGTAGGGAGTGAATCTTTTATACTGCGGCATATTTACGTGAATCACGTAGGCCTCAATTATAATGGCGGCTGGTCGTAGCCCTGCCGACGGCAGTACATGGAAAGATGGACGAAATCACGGTGTTGATCCACTGCCAGCGAATGCTACAGGACGTTATGACGCAGGTTGAAGTAGTTGTTGTTGTTGCATGGAGAATGCAAATTATATGGGAGTTAGCGCTACCTCCAGGTATGTAAGAAAATGCAAATTAGAGTAGGTGCAAATCACATATAACAACTGGTTTCAGTTCAGCATAGCTATTAATAATGACACAAACAAGTACGAAAACTGGTTTAAAGAAGATTTCAGTAAAGATAAGAGATGCTGAGGTAGAGTTAGCTCGGACTGGGGTAGCGCTGTCTACTGGATTCAATAGGCTTGGTGCCCTTCTTCAAACGGTGTTCTTATCCTATTCTAGTAGTGTGACATGAATACTACTGAATATTCTAGTTTGACAGCCAGGGACCACTACCAATCACAAGGGATCCTCGGTACGCGAAAGATATACAGCTTTTGCTACATTTTACATCAATGCATTTTAGCTCGTGCCTGCAGCCATTTTTGCTGCGAGACCAAATCAGCAAGGACTAAAGTATATCGTCGTCGTCGTCGTCGACAGCAGCGGCATGGTGCCTAAACCACTGCCGTGTAAACACGCTTGACTGTGCGCGTTTCCCTTGTGGAAAGCACAGCAGGGCATAAAGAACGACGCGATACTGCTGACGGTGCAAAAGCTTTCATGCCCACTTGCCAAAACTTCAACGTTACCAACACCTTTGCTGATGTAAAGGTGCTGCGCACAAAAATCAGTATTATGCCCGCTTAATACCAATCGAATACAGCAGCAGGTTATCGCTGGCGACTGCAAGACGAGATCTCGTCGACTGAGCAGCAACAGTTAAGTATGGTGTTCGACAAGAAAAAAAAAACAAAACAGACAAATGTTGTGTTAGCATTGACAAAAACACTCGAAAAGCCAATGTATTTTATGCACAATGGCAGAGATGTATTGGAATAGGTTTTGACAAGTGGTTTGGTGTAGCAGGTGTGTGCTTATTGCAACACCAGAAGACAGCTTGTTTGTACAGAACAGTAATACGAGCTCATGATGACAGAGACACGAGGTTTGCATGCGGTATTTGCGCGGGTATCAGTTGAGTTCGATTTTTTTTTGCTCTAAAAGCGTAGGAAACCTATAACCTGCTTGATTACCCGAACTCAAGCGTTTACTGTATTGTGACTAAATACGCGGTTGCTGAAGCAACAAAAGCATGTATTACAATAAAACAAGTGTTGCAGAAAAGCCTTTGTGAGGATTCTACAACGAATAAATAAAGTCCAAAAGCGCAAAAGAGTCCGCTAGAACGTAATTGAGTAAAAAACCAAGCAAACATGACAACGTCAATTCGTCCACGCTTAAAGTGACGGGTCAAGATAACGTTTTTAGGCGAGCGAACTTATGACAATAACGTTACAGGGCTAAGAAAGAGCTTTCCAAACGTGCATAAGACGTAATCATTATCTAGCGAACAGGTAAAGGAAACAATAAACGATCCTAATATTACTTAACGCCGACCTAATTCATGGTCGCTGGAACTGATAAATACATTTATCATTTTAAATTTACATAAAACAGCGAAACATAATGCAGACTTGATAATAAATGACAAGGACATCAGGAAAAATGCACATTAACGTAGGGATATTCCTTTCTCTTCTCGATTTTACCCCTTTTCTGGTCCCACAGCCCCGACTGCACCGGAAAAGCAACAATTGTTATCGGACGCTAATGATACGGCAGTTGCACTAAATTTGGCGAGCTGGCGTGAGGGCGGCTGTGTAATTGAGTCATTTCACGTTGCCTACAAGCTGGCCACCAGTCTTGAATGGATCAATGTGCCTAGAGAGGATTTACCCCCCCTACCGTTGGCCTTGTTGCCGCAGCAGTCGAGTAGCCATACGGGTGGTACAGTCTCGAAAACCTCCAGTACAAGCAGTGCAACGAGCGTCATCGTCGGCAATCTCTTACCATCGATGCCCTACTTACTTCTAGTTCGCGCAACAAACAGCGCCGGCACTACCGAGGCGCAATACGACTTCGTGACCTCGCGGCAAGCAAGAGGTATCAATAGGACGTTATTTAGATATGTATGCTAAAAGCGTAGAAACAATGCTTTGCGACAGGACCGAACATGAAATATTTATCTGTTTAGAAAAATGTGTGTAAGTGTAATTTGTAGAATATCAAATTGTGACAAATCGACAGAAACAAAAAAGTCCTAGCGAGGAGTGGAACGACCTTCGACTATTACTGGCTGGAAAAGCAAACAATTTCCCTGAATAAAAATCGAGGACTACTACGTGAAGCTGTGATCCAATAGTTGAAGCTGTACAGGGGAAAGTTATTTAGATCAGGGAAATGCAAAGGAAGGTACCTCTCCAGTATCCTTGTATCTTATAACAAAACAAGGCTGAATACATTTCAAACAATCAAAAAAGTCCCTACCGATGACATATATTAAAGCTGTGTCTCTGTGGTAGTAATGTATCTATTGATCTTACTCCAGAACACTTAGGGAGATCATCTATCTAGACCCGAAAGCGAGCGAAAGCATACTTGGTTTATTGCGGCGCTACAAAGCCTGCCTGCCTGCTCTTTCAGGCTGGCAGGAAACGTTAGCCGCTTTTACAACAGTACAGCGGTACGTTCGTTTGCGTTTGATAATTAATCAGCGTTTTCTGGTTTATTTCTGTGTCTGCTTTGTCCTTGCTCTTCAAAGACAACCCCCTGTCTTCAACGGTGGGAGCGCGACGATCACCACTGTTGCAGTTGGAGGTCATAATTCCTGTAGCTGCGTCTGTGCTAGTCGTGGCGCTCGTTATCGGTGCCATCTGCTTTGTAATCAAGAATAATCGCGACAATATGCACCCGTATGACGGTATGTAAACAGCTCGTAATTTATAGTTGAGGAAATACCTTGTCCGCATTGATTATGCTGCGGCTTATAAAAACTCGTGTTCTTCTAGAATGGCCAAAATCTATCCGATCTACTAGTTTTAGGATTCCATAAAATGACATACATTCACATATTGGATTCGGAATTGAAATGAAGCGGAAATGTTAGCACTCGATGGACAAATTCACAAGTTTTTATTTCGTTAATTCACAAGTTTCGATTTAACTAGCCCAATAGCTAAGTGTTTAATCGCACTTTTTACTGAGTCGTTTATTCCACGTTCATCCGACAGAGAGTTGTGGTTCAGGGTTTGGCGTGTTGCGTAAAAACCAGACGGTAGTTGGAGGAGTCGGCGTGGGTGTTGGTGAGTGCGTTCATCTAGCCGAAATGGACGGCTGCAATAAGATGGAGCTTCCCGGCAGTCAGCTGCTCAAGAAAACCAGCGAGGGGTACTACGCCACTCCATACGCTACCACCCGACTCGCGGGTCTCAACCTCACTAGCGGGGTTCATAACGCCATGGTGTCACAGCATCCCGGCCATCCTGGCCATATTAGTCACCCGGCCGGAATCGGCGTTCAAGTACAACCAATGTGCGGTGGCGAGCAGAGGAAATTTCCCGTGCCTATTGGTTCGTCACCAGACTGCTTCAAACAGGTGAGAACGCTAGGCGTGATATGACGACAGATACGTATACAGGGCATTGTGGTTTTAGCTATTTTGCTAATAAGACACAGGCTTCTAGCTGAGACCGAACCCAAAGCGTGGTGATGTGACGATTTCAAACCGAGCGATCGATCGATCTTCAACTCACCGCGCATCTATGTTGGATATTGATTCGATATCGTATCCTTTATCGTTTCAATATACAGATCGTCTCTGAAGAAGAATCGTCGTACGCCACAGTAAAGCGCACCCCTAGACAAATGCGGCAGTCGTCCGAATTTAATATCTACAATTATCCAGCCGGGACAGCAGGCACAGTTATGGGAAGTCCGGACGAAATGTCCGATCTCGATTCGAGCACGATAGGCCAATGGGAGGGTGGCCAAGGATGTGGGGTGAACAACAAGTTCCGCGCGATTCAGGGTGAGTGTATGCAGTATACCACAGACAGGTGAACGGAGCAAGCGCTCTGTCCTTTTTTTTACCAGGCAGAAGTACAGCCACCAAGTTATTCGGTATTCATTTGGATCAATATTAATTTTGCCACAATTAGGCGTAGAATTTGCATTGTACCTTTTTGAGTGCATCAAACCTACGCGTATGCGACGTTTGCACTAGGATTTTTACAGGAATAGCTAATGTCTTGTTTTCTCTTTCTACGGTATAAATACGCAGATCGTAAATGTCAAAACTTGCAATTGTGCAGGTATGCATTATACCAGAAGAGGAATAAATCCGTTGCATTTTACCAATTGCCGCTTGTGTTCTCCGCGTATTTTAACGTTGTTTGTAACACCGATAGCACAGAAAAAGAGATCATCGTGCATACTATAATGATACGTGGCGTTCTAGCTTCTACTTAGTTTTGTATGCCCTATTCCTAACTGTATTTTTTATTCACTGAGCTGGGTTGCTTGGATGCCCTTGGTACTAAAATACACTTTAATTATGACGGCGCTTCGCCTTACAATACCCTATTCTATACAGATCTAACTTGCTGTTGCCATTACTTTTCAGGACTCGAGCATATGGTTAACCATCACGGACATCCATATTGAGTAACCGTGCTAGCAATTCGAATACATCGGCTTAGAAACCTTGTGACGTCGGACGCCCATTGTCGTGTTCAAACTATCCTGTGCCAATACCCCCGCACTCTAATTGCTATTAAGCCAATACTGTGCCGCCCTTGAGACGCTACACCTTTGCAGGGATTTCGCTATCTCAGAATGAAGCTTTACTTCGCGAAGTTCCATGTAAATACTTCCGTCAAGAGTAGAATAGGGTATACGAATACATACATACATATGTATGTATGTATGTATATATAAAGCTACTTCTTCTGACGATTACCAATGAACTAAGTTAGGTAACTAATCAAACATCGACACAAAGGACGACCTTGATGTATGTTCGCTACCTGTCATTCGTACGGGCCGACTACCGAATTCGGCCGTAAATTTAGATACGTAAACAGAGAGAAGCCTGTTGGAAGGCGGCAGATGATTAGAGATTTGTACGTAACAAAGCAGGCCCGAAAAAATGCATAACTCCGGTAGAGAGAGTAATGATTAAGCATATTAGAGATTGCGGCAAAAAGCTATGGGAAGCGACAAAGTGTACTGTTGTACTACACGGTTCTAAAATTAGAAACAAACGTTAAATAAACAACAAGTGTATTAGTAAAAGTTCTCATGATTTTGAAGACGAAACTGGAATAAGGAGATGAATAAGACGGACGACAATTCCGAACGAACTCATTCCCTCACTCAATCTGTACATAGTCTCTGTGCATACATCGAAAACAACAATAGCTTGAAAATAGTAACAATAATTATTATAATAATGCAAAAAATGCATGTTAATATTGCATAGATATCGAAGTTGTGTTTCATAGACAGTTGAGTCATACTGGCTTGTTGTATACATCATTTTCTTGAGACCATACGATAAGTGCGGGGCTGATCGTCGAGCGTGTCTTCGTAGCTAATAAAAGCTTTTAAACAACTGGTAGAGTACGAACGATTTAGCCGAATTATACTGTATGTTTCGGATTTCCTATTCCGATTCGCGTTTACCTAAGTTAATGTCTACTGTTATTTCAAGTTTTTTTTTTTTTTTTTTTTTGCTTCGCTAATCCCGAGCTGAACGTCAATTTAAACTTTCGAATTTTAACGGTTGACCCACCTCGGCGTACCAGAAACTTTTGCGTACGAATGTAACCCAAATGCTAACGAGTCACAGGCTATTCGGGAGTCTAAATACTGATCAAACAAAAAGTGTCGATATAGGTGACTTGCGCAGGAAAGTCGGTAGGATTAACACGTAGATGTGTCGAATCGTGAATTTAAAGAAATCCATCAACTTTGTGTATAGACCGAAAGAGTGTCGTTTTCACTCACTTCTGGGATCGACCCGCAGAAAGAAAAGCCCACGGAGGGTCATGCACGGTGCGCCCTTGGGTCAAACAGTTACGCTAAATGCCGGACCTGGGTGAATTCCGTTTTTCAAAAATAGTTTGGTGAACAAATCGTCGAGTTAAAAGGCCATAAATAATCGCTCCTAAACCAAAGGCCGTTTTGTAGTTGTTATAATAATAAAGTTGCTTTGATTCTTTTTCTCCTTCTCTAACAGATGCTATGGGCTTAAATTACTTCGAACATTTAACTGAAGCAGTTAGGGAGGCATAATGAGTACCTTGTTCTTCGTATCTTTCAACATGCGACTAGCTCCACAGGAAGAGCGCTAAGAATAATATAACGTGGCTTAGTGATAATCGTCATGAACCGCGCTAACGGCAGATGAATCATTGGATTATCTAGAGGATTTCCTTCGGTGACTGACTGCTTCTACTAATCTTTCTTTAAGGATCTGGCACTGGATACAATTTTAGATTCGCGTCTTCACTTGCCTTTAAACAACCTGAGGTTGCCATTTACACTAGTCAGTTTCCCTTTGCATATATCACCTGTATTCATTGTCTTTAAGGCCCTGTCATTGTTTCTGCACAAATCCATGCTAGTTAGGTCCTAACCTTGCGGACCTTAGGTGCTTCATGGATGTACTACGCCTCCTACCTGCCTCTCTTATCTACCTGACGCATAATTGCGTTGTTCCATTCGTACTAGTATTGTGGTGCTTGGCAAACGGGGTAGTTGTAATAGAATGAAGGACTGAAACGAAGGCGTGCACTACATTAAGAGGTCTGCTAGATAGAAGAGATCAATTGAGAGGCTGGGTTACGGCCCGCGTCAGGCCCCTAACCTGAGAATGTAACCCAAACAGCAAATACATATCCGAGCCGAGAGGTGTTGATTGATTCTAGGTCGCACTTGGAAAAGTCGACGGTTCCTACGAATACGGCGCTGCCGTCAATGGTTGATTCACCATAATGGAGTGAGTATCATACACACACACATATATATATATATAGAACATCGTAACAAAGCCTGACACAACGGCAACAAGTAAGATCAGCAAGAGGTTAAGCAAACATCGGTAAATAAAGGTGCGGTTCGTGTAAACGGTAAATGAGAATTAATGGAAAGGCTGGTGGAAATAACTTTAACGACGAGAATGGCTACGTTAGGAGCTGTTTACAGATAATATACACATAAATAGTTAGATAAAGGAACAAGAACGCCGATGCTAAGATATATATAAAAAGCAATGAATGCCTATTAAAAAAACGGACCGAGTGGCCAACTAACTTTGAAAAAACTATGAGAAAAATGTAATATTATTCATAAAAAATGTTAAGTAAAAAAAATGTACAATGACGAACATGATACAGTGATGATGATTTTGCTGAATGGGACAATGCCGGAAATGAGAGAGAACGAACCGAAGGGTCAACAATTCCTAGTCAGTTACATTGGTCGATTAATAGGGGGGTGTCGCTGTTCTAATACTATATACATACAAATTATAGTAATAATAACAATGATAGCAACAACAATATGCTTGATGAGTAAGTATAGTGCATAAAAAGCTGAAAGCTAATGTCTGTTACGAATGTTGGTGATATTTTTAATTTGACAAAAAATGATGTTGTGTAAATGTGATTTAATAAATAACACAAACGGTGCGTTATGTGTAATACATGCATGAGCGTAGCACACATTGCACAGGGACGGGGGAAAAAGAGAGAGAGTTAGGCAAGTAAAAAACTGACTAAAGATAAACTTGACCGAATGAGACGATTCGTATAAAAAGGTGGGCCACGAAGTTAAGCGTAAAGGCCCGAATCGGACTGACTTCATGGCGGTGAAGGGCCGTTGGATGTTGGTGCATATAATGCCGACTGGCAAATATAGATAAAGCGCAGTTGCATTGAAATCGAGCTAAAGAAGGGAAATACACAAGCTACATTAAAAAGTGAAAAGGAAAATCGGTACGCTCAAAAGATAACGAAAAGTAATCGATGTTAACAGTGTCTAAACACGACCTGAGGTCGGAGCAGAAATACTGAGCTCGATTGAAGGCGCAGCTATGCGGGTACACGCCGGGGTAATGTGCGGGGGAAAACAATAAAAAAAAATAGAGACAAAAACGTTCGATGTCTAAAGGACTGCTAGACAGGAAAGGGGTGCCTGGAAGAAACCTCCAAGAAATGGGGGCAAAGCTGTATGAAGCAAAACTACAAAGAGGAAAAAATAAACAACGTTTGTATATTGTTATTCATAAAAAACATTATTATGTATTCGCTTTTTAGGTATTAGCTGTATTTGGAGTGTTAGACATTATTGTAGAAAAATAGGCTTGTTAAAAAGGAGCATGGCAGTTTGATCATGTGCAAATAGTTCGAAGTAACTACTTTTACCTAGATTGTAGTAAACTTAAAAGAATGGCGTGTACAGCTTGGGTTGGTCTTGTTCATCAACATATACAATCTGTCCCAAAATTATAAGTGAAAAAAGTAGGTAATTTTAGTAAATATATGCAGCTGGTTGTGTTTCTGCCAAAACAGAACATTATGATGTGCAAGAAAAACAATGTTTCGAATCGTAGGGCACTTAAATGCAAAATAAATCGAGCGTTCCGCGTAAAATTTCCCACTTAGGTTAATGACGTACAGTGCCAGTATAGGCGTTGCCGAGTTGCAGGTCAGAAATAAATCACGATCCTTACTTAAACTAATTGAGTCAAAGGCGTATATCAGGAAAATGCAGGTGGAATAGCGGGGATCTCCTGCTACGCCTACCGCTATTGAAGCCTTTCTAGAGGGTGGATCATTCTTAGTAGATCACAAACATTTTTCAACAAACACAAGCAAATTTCGTGTAATTTTTAGTAATCCTAAGTTTATAATATGTGAGACTTACTTAAAGCCAAATAGTAGTCACTAAACGTTATGGACTTTAGAATTGAGAGCACAAGAAAATAAGCATATTAAAGTTTAGTATAATTATTACCACTATAGAATATTGATTACGTCAATCAAAGAAACATCGTTTGAATGAACGAGATCGAATTAGTTGCCAAAAAACCTTAGCACTTGTCAGTTCAATGCATAATATACATATATATATATATATATGCATTATATTATAATATATATATAGCTTTTTCCTACTTTTATCATACAAAGGTCTCCTATGGTGCTTTGATGTTCATCGTTACAAACGCAGATATTCGACAAAAAAGTAAACTTTCAGTTTTACATTTGTTCGTGAGATTGATTCCCTTCTCGATAGGACAAACAAACCCTTCCAAATCGTGAACGAACCCGAATAAGCAATTCTTTTTTGTGCCGAACTTGACCACTTCCTGTTTATAAGATTCTGAGCAGATTATGTCCGTTAGAAAAAGTTCATCTTAACAATATTCCTGGACTAATTCTCTGTATGGGACTTGTTAAAATATTCTACTGTCCTAAATGGGTTTTTGTTATCCACCCCGCCGTTACCGCACCGATTTGAAGCGCCACCTTTTCTTACACCTTTTGCCACAACCTCCGGATTCGAAGAACCTCCGTGACGAGTCCTAACAAGAAAATCCATGAAGTACTTATCACAATTCAGTTTCGGACTGCGTCAGCCCTACAGAAGACCAATCTCTACTATTTTGACATATATATATATACATATATCTGTTGCCGCGAGACAGTATATGTATAAATGGGCTACTTCAGAGACGTCGAGTGAACGCAGCTGCTGAATGTACGCTAGCAATAAAGGTCGCAATTATCAGACTTCACTGTGTCGAGGTCGTCTCAACTTGTCTTGACGTCAGTTCGCTGGTTTTTCCCGCCAATCGTACGAAACGACCCTCGACGGCCAAAGAGTCGTTAACGCACTGGATCCCGGAAAGGGCCTTTGTCCGGAGTAGCGGATCTGTTGGACATTCTGTTCCAAGTGGTAGGAACGGGCCTTGCAAAGCGAAGCACAGGGCTCTGATCGGAGCAACGAAAAGGCGAGAGTGAATCAGCAAAGTGAGTAAGAGTACGACTGTATTGAGCAGCTAAGGCAGCAGAAGAAACTTGAGCGCAGGCCGCCGAAGACAGAACACGACCAGGCTAAGCAAGACGGAATCGGTGGCGGCTGCGGCGGGACCAAAAACAAGAAGTGGGAGAAGAAATCGACATTTGTCGATAGACTCACAGCTAGACGAAAAGACTGACAGCGCACTATCCGGCCACCAGTCGAGTACCCATGCTTGCTTAATGGTAATAGGAAGAGGACGAGACGATGATTCTGTTTCGGCAGCAGAACCGCTGGTCCGTGGGAGCGGCATTGGTTCACACTGGCGACGCGAGTGCTAAGAGCGAAGGAGCCTATCGACAATGAAAGGAAAACGGATCGGAAAGACGGCCAATAGAGACACACAATAGAAAGAAAGGCATGGAAAATAGGAAAAAGGAATACCCTTTCAGGAAGGACACTGGCTAGTAATACTAGGCCAGAGCGTAATGAAGAAAAGCCGTTCCACATCGAGACGATCAAATAACAGAAAAGATGCTCTAGACTATATACGGGCGTCCTTGTATGCATATGCGCGATAAACAATAACGCTAGTCTATAGGGGCTGGTAAAAGATCTGCGGTTGCCACCACAACGAAACGCGCGCATCCTGAATGAGCCTGAGTGAAAGCTAAAAACGCAACGAATGAAAATAAGAGACAAAAGATATATGTACAACCATAACAGCAGAATTAGAAAATCCAAGTGAAGATCTTTGCAGAGCGTTAGGGAGGGGGGGCGGGGGGAGGGGGGGGGTATAGTAACAGCATCGTTTAATGAGACTCAACTACAAAATCTTTTTCACCTTCGTGTTAGCGTAAATGGGATGTGAGAAGTGTTTTCTGGAACAGATATTGGAACAATTGGAAGACGATAGCTATAGCCAAGTGTATGCGAATAGCGTACAGAATTACGTTCCAAACGATGCCTCTGGATCGGTCGTTTGGGGGTCGAGACAGAAAAGACGGAAGACACCAATAAAATGAGATAATTTGCCCCTTCCATTCCTTCCAGGTTAGCATGACACTACCGAAGAGAAATCGAAGCTATATAAAACTAGACGAGACACAGGGCCCACGAAACTGAGCGAAAGAAGAACTGCAAAAAGTGGAAACATGCTCCCTCCTGATAGCTCCTGGAAAGCTGCTGTCCGCTATTGAAAAAAACCTTTGTATAGACTTTGTACAGCTTGACATGTATAACCACTACATGTTAGAGACAGTGAAGACGTATAGTACTGGCACTGAACGTCTCTGTGTCTTGTCAGGGACAAACATCGACACAAACAACCCAATTCCCAGCCGATTCTAGGAGGCGGGTGCCAATCTAATGATTGACAAAGCATTTGTATAAATGTATGCTACATACTAGTAGACTTCTGTACACAGACACTTACATAGAGAATTCTACGATCTGCACCACCTGTAATACAGAGGGTTCTAACAAACTCTGTATTGTTTTCTCCATTTTGGACTTATTTTCTGGAATCGTTTCCGCTCCTGCTGCCTTTAGGAGTGCCCGCGGGTCCGGTAAGCCAGGACCGCCTGTAAGTACCGGTCGCTTCTGACCATCAGATCGACACGTGGAAGAACGACGGATGGTGCATGGGCACTGAAGAAGCCAACATGCATGTTCTGTTACGTACTGGACGGACGAACTCGTTAGAGACGAAGACAGCCACCGCTCTGACCCTCTAAAGGGTTTTTGCTGCAGTACCGGCCATGCTACTCATGGAGTTTCTAAGAGAATCACTGTCGTCTTCCGAACCCAACGTGCTTCGAGAAGGTTCCGTTCGTCCGTTCCGTCCGAAGGAGTGCCCTATCATCCCCCTCCCTCGCCTGCCTTTTGTAGCGGAACAGAGAGAACCCCAAGGGATGATGACTAAGAGTGCAAAAGATAGACGGGAGGGAATTAATTTCAATTTCAAATCGTAACAATTGCTAAAACAGCACAAAATAGAAGAAGCGAAGACGAGGAAGATTAAGGAATGGAGAGTGCTTCCCACAGTTGCACTGAAAACGTAGTGCGCCGAAGTGACGCAGAGGCATTCGAAGATAAGGATAGGGCGTGAGTGCAGCAGGCGAAGTGATCCGTCTGTCCCTGTCGCCTCCCTGTCCTTCGTTACGAGGTGCACACTACTCGTTTTTGTGCTGTGTGGTGGCTGCGGGTGTCGAATCGTTTACGGGTTCATCTGCCTTGGATCTCGTTCCGTTTGCTCTAGCCCCCCCGTTTGCCCGCCTCCCGCTTACAGCCATCCTATAGATAGGGACGTCGCTTCTGGTAAGACCTTGAAGAGGAACGAATCATACGATAAGATGATGAGGGTCGAGATTCGTCAGAAGCATTGGCAGAGAGATGGGGAAAGCTGAGATCGAAAAGCGAACGACAAGTGCAGTGCGCCAGTCAAATTAACTAGGTTCTACGCGAAAATGCAGCAGAACAGGACAGAGCAAAACACCAATCTGGTGGCCACCAAGAGCAGGACAATAAAGGAATGTAGCAGAGAAATAAGAAAGAGCATATTTATAGGTTGACAGCTTTTTTTTAATTTTCGTGTTGAAAACGGAAGTAGTCTGTGTGGTATCGCCGTTAGATGAGCCAGTAGTGAGAATGCGATAGGAAATCGCGGCTATGATAACGCCAAACGATCTTGTTTCATTTTAGCTGGTCATATTAAAGCATCGATAAAAACTATCGATTGTGTATTGAATACAAAGTAGCATTAGCATGAAAAAGTAGGCTTTAAGGATACACTGGGGCGTGCCAATAGCTTCGACAAATATTACTTCGGTTGCGAAGCTGAATGATACTGACTTATGAGCGCTTTGATAAGAGGCAAAGACAAGCTAGCTACTAGGGTAAGAACATCACATATCCTTCTTTCGCTATGCGTCATTCAACATAGAACTAAGAGCCTTATCTTAACGATGTCTTCATTTTTAAGCGTTTTTATTGCTTATTCTGTGAGAGGTATTTTCAAAATATACCGGTTTAAGTGGATAAGGTAAAGTAATATTTCATTACCACGTTTAGCAACATTTTATTTGGTTTCCGTTAGCCTCTGCACCTAGACGATAACGGTGGACAAACGCACTACCGTAATATTGTTTATCTAAAAGCTACCCTGTTTAATGATAGAGCTCAATTCTTGGTTTGAATGCACCTTCTCGCATCGTAGCGCATACATTTC